GTATCTGGTAAGATTATGGGAGACAGCTAGGTACAAAAGGGTTCAGGGGAAAAGAAAAATGTCGGAGAAAAATCCTGATTAGTTTTACTAATGCAAAACACTCATTTTGATTTGCTTTTATTCTCTCCGCCACAGCATCCTACAAATAGTACTTTGTGTGTCTGCTTTCCAACACAACGTGCCCTTTTAAAGCCAGAAATGTGAAACTGACTAAAGTCTTCCCCTGCTATAAAAAAAAAAAAAAAAGGTAAAAAGGGAAGGGACCCCTGGATGGTTAAGTCCAGTCAAAGGCGACTGGGGAAGCGGCGCTCATTTCGCTTTCAGGCCGAGAGAGCCGGCATTTGTCCACAGACAACTTTCCAGGTCATGACAAAATTGCTTCTGGTGCAACGGAACACCATGACGGAAACCAGAGCGCATGGAAATGCTGTTTACCTTCCCACCGCAGCAGTACCTATTTATCTACTTGCACTGGTATACTTTCAAACTGTTAGGTTGGCAGTTCCAACTCCATAGGCAACCATAGTATTGCAAGCCACCCCAGTTTCTGAGAGGTGTGAGATTCCAGGGGTTCCAGGTGCTTACCCAGAGTTTGCGCTCCTTTAGGAATAAGGCACAGCAGAGACCACAGTCTTCCCTTGATATAAATTTCATAAATGTCCATAGCCAATGCTATTTTTCCTAGAAAGAGGTGTCAGAACTCTCTATGAATGCTTCCCTTGTTCTCTTATAATGGCAATGGTGCCCACCTGAGAGGGGCCAGAACTGAGTTCCAGCAAATTCCGGCTAAATATAAGCCCTGTTGATAGCAAGACACTAGTGAAATTGATAAGGCCTGGATCTTCTGCAAGCAAATTGTGTTCTCTACCAATGAGCTATAGCAGTTCATTCTAATGCAGCTGATTGTTGTGGCAAGGACAATCTGGGAGAAGACCTTGCAAGAGGGGTTATTCCAGCTGCTGAGCCCCCCATGCACCTGGGTAGCCAGCAAACAAGACAGGTTAATGTTCTTGCCTATGGCCAGGAAGAGAGAGGGTCAGTTTGGGGATAGTGGGGGGTGGGGAGAACTGCTCCAAGGACATGTTGTTTGCTTTGGGGTGAACTGATGTTACTTTAAACAGCGCCCCCCCCGCCACCCTTGAGCCATTGTGAACGAACAACAAATAACACAAAACACCCCAAATCGCCATGATTTTCCTTCCCTGAAAACTGATGCTGTTCTTCCAAAGCTTCCTAGTGCTTGGATCAATAACTTAAATCCAGTGAGTCAGGGAGGTCTGGAGGTGGGATAGTTCTACTTTAAGTCTGAATACCAATATTCACAACCAAATCCTGAGCCTGGATACAGTTCTGGGGCGGATCCCCAGGAATCTCTGGCTGAGATTAAGCCCCACATTTTATTTATTCCTGGGGTGGGCAGGTGATTTGAAGCTTTAATCTTTAACATTTCAGATAAAAGATAAATCTGGAGGGACCCCCTTTTTTTTAATTCCAGCATATCACAAAATGAGCAATGAATAAAACTTTAACTGGTGCAGGGAGAGGGCTTATTTATGAGTTTCAGCTGAAATTTGCTGGGCGAGGGCCCAGAGGGGGAAATTGGCACTGCATACAGATGAGACTCCAGCTTGGCTTGATGGAGACAGGACTATAAATTGCAACTGCCAGACCCTCTTCTCTCCTCCCTTTCCCAGTTCTGCATTTATTTTATATTTTATATCATTTTATTTTTTCCTCTTATTTGCACCAATGTTATTGATTCCCAAAGGAAATTAAAATTCCTGGAGTCTCCGAGTGACTCCATCATTTTCCATGTGGGGATTTTAAGCACCCTCAAAGGGACTGGTGGTAAATCTACACCTTTTGTACACAGCAATGTAGGCATTTTCCAGAGATTTTGGTGTGGGTCGTTCATTCTATCTGAGCTTACAGTGCTCAAGATATAAAATGCACACAGACTACGGGAGAGAAAATTCCCAGAAACATTGTAATACTTCTCGCTATGTGTCTGGAGTGGAGATTGTGTAAAAGATTGTGCTTTGTGGTCTCTTTCCATAAGCAATAGCTTTTATAGGATAAATTTTCTTGGGAAGAAAAAGCATTGGAGATTTATAGTGTCTTTGTAGTCATTTGTTTACTTACAAGTGTACAAGCTGAGCAGGCAATTTGAGGACACAGAGGCAGGTGGAGGCAGTAGCAGCACTTCGAAATCTAATCACACCGGTTCTCCCCCTACTCTACCAGACAAAGCAAAATTAATTTCTCTAATTTTGCCCCACTTCAGACTCATTTGGACCATTTCAGATCACAGTGGGGTGATCCCATGACTGAATACAACCCATGGAAAAGAAAGGCACTCAGCGCCAGCAGATCAAGCAGATCAAGGCTGGGCTGCAAACTGATCTGTTTATTGAGCATTTGTCCTGATTTGTTCGCAGAAAAAAATCACAGAGGTTATATGACACTGAACATTCATTCTGATCTGTTTTTGTAGTTGCCATAATAACATGCTGTCCCCTGTCATTTTTCTTGCCACAACAATTTGGGGGTTTGGGGGGTTTGTCACACACGCGTGTAAGAGCAGAAGCCTCAGAGCCGATTGCACTTTAGCTGGGTCCTTGGAGACAGATCTGTCATCAGAATAATCCTCTCACGGCTGAGCAATAGCTCAGTGGGAGAGCACTGGATTTGCATGCAGAAGGTCCCAGATTCAATATCCGGCAGGGGTGCCCACTTGAATAAAATATTGTAGGGGCACAGCCCCACCCCACATAATGAATCACATGACGCAATGCACCATTTGAATGGAAATGTCCATCAACTTGGTGGGGGCCTGGTCCCCTCAAATATTTTATTGTGGGAGCCGAAGCCCCCATAGCCCCTAGGAGTTGGCTCCTATGATCCCTGGCATCTCTAGGTAGGGCTGAGAACAGACCCTGCAGAGAAGCTGCCAGTTAGGGTGGGTAGTACTGAGCCAGATGGAGCAGTGGTCCGACTAGGCGTTAGGCTGCTTCATATGTTCTTCTTATGGGTGTCAAGTCCACTTAACTGCACAACATAAATTTGCCTGCGTATGGTTGAATCAAAATAGTGACAGTCTGGAAGCAGCCTGGAACAAATCTACTGGAAAGTATCTACTGTGTTAATAACTGCCCCTGTAGCAGTTCCCTAACTCTTAAATCACCCTCACTCTCAACTGGTATTAGTTAGAGGGGTAGACTTGGGTTCTGAATGGCCAAATAATATTTGGTCAATTGAACGATCAGTTGTTGTTGTTGTTTAGTCATTTAGTCGTGTCTGAACACCCACCAATATTTAATAATCAACAGGTTTGATACTTAATGCTAATTACAAAACCTGTTGTTGCAAAATGGTAACATTTATTTTTAGAATTCAAAATCTATCAATCAGTTTGTAATTATTATTCTATATACTGATATTATCCAATTTGCTAAGAGCAAGCTTTCTGAGTGTGAATTCCTTTGAGGCTGGGCTGCTCTTGGGCCTGGACAAGAGGCTTCAGCTGGTCTAAACGGCTGCGGCTGGACTGTTGATGGGGACAGACCATCACCAGCTCATAGTTCTGGTGCTAAACAGCCTGCAATGGCTGCCGCCTGCTGCCAGGCCAGGCTCAAGGTTCCTGTATGATTTACAAGGCCGTTAACAACTTGGGTGCAGCATTCCTTATATCCCTGCCTGATCACTGAGGTCTTCAGGGAGTGACAAAGACCTTTTGATTAAAGCAGGTATTTGAAGGAAGTTTTCTGTTTTTATTATTAATTTTATCCACTGCATGCTTCCTGTAATGTTTATGTGAACTGCTTAGAAACTTTGTTACAAAACGAAGCAGCACAGAGTAAATGCACCCTTTTTTTTAAAAAAAGAGCTGTTTCACAGTGGAACAGTCTCCCTTGGGAGGTGTGGGGGGGGGGGGGGGGGAGAAAAGAAACTTTGGTAATTTAGCTGTATATAAATAACTAGTAGGTGGGCTCTAGGATCCTGTCAGAATCCTCATGCCTCCTTCCTGGAGCTGCGTAAGCACTTACCGGGCTTTGAGAAGGCACCCTCCTCAGTTGTGTGCCTGGTGCAACCGCACTGCTTGCACTGCCCCAAGTCAGGATGCAGAACTTACCAGACCCAGGCTTCTTATCTCATCCACCTTTTGCAAACTGGCACAAGGCCTTTAAGTTGCAGCACATTTTCACAGGACTGGCTGAATTGAGCTGTGACACAGCTACAGTTAGAATTTCTTATGATCTCAGGCAACCAATTCAATCTTGGCTTTAGCCTTCTGTTCTGTTCTCTCCAGAGACCTCCTTGGAGAAAGGGAGAGAATGACAAGGGGAGCGATGGGCAGATGGAGATGGCTGTGAGTAAACAAATGCTTCTCCCACTTGCCTTCTTCACGCCGCCACCCCTTTTCTCTATTTTCTTCTCCCCTTTCCCCCTTTTTTCTTCCCGTGTTGCCACCACTGATCTATGCTAATCAAAGCCCTTTGATCACCAGCAGCCTCCTTTGGGGCATCGAGTGGATTGTCACTTCCAATCTGCTCCCCTCCCCGTATCAAAGGAGCCTTCTGTGCTGCTACTGGGGAGGATGGAAGAGATGGTTTGGGGAGGGAGGTGGAGGCAGAGGCACCTTCTTTGAAATGAGAATCTCTCCCTGTGCTAACACTATGGCCCTCCTTCGTGTCAGCAGCGCAGGAGTCTGTATGCACAGGAGTGCTGCCCTGTGGGGGGAATGGCTGAGGTACAGGTGCTGGCAGGCTTCTCTGGGGATGCCTCAGACTGGTTCCATGATCAGGAGAAGGAGTGGCCTAGCAATCCCTCTGGAGTCAAGTGGGTGTAACAAGATCTCTGTGTCTCACAAGAGGACCAGAACAAACAAAGAATGATTAACATTACCACTTAAGAAACCAAATGTTTTAGAGTCACCCAACCCAAACTGCTGCTGGTTACCTGGCAACAGTGAATTTATTGAATAAATGAATAAAAGATATCAGTTAACTGTTGCTGGCTAAATGGCAGTATTTCCATCGATCAGAGTCCATGTTGGCATTCTCCTTGCTCCTGCATCTGCTTTCTCTGCTTCTTCTCTCTCGCTGCTCCCACAGCTTCCTCAGATCTCTTCGAGACCAATCTGGAGGGCTACAGGCTCCTCATTCCTAGTCCCAGGGAAGAGTGGGCAGAGAAACTATTATTTTTATTTTTACTCTTACATTGTTTCCCATGACCGACAGATGCCAACCAAATATTATTATTATTTTTTTATACTTCCCTCTGAAGATCACAGGGTGGTCCATGACATAAAAATACAAAGTGAGAACACAAAATACACAGCAAATGACAACAAAAACAACCAAACCAATACGCTTCCCCCTTCTAGAAACACATTTTAAAGGCCATAGATTGTTTGATCAGTCAAAGGTCTGGTTATAGAGAAACTTTTTGCCTGGCGCCTACAGAGATGTAACGAAGGCACCAGTCAAGCCTCCTTAGAGAGATTATTTCACAAATGGGGAGTCACCACAGAAAAGGCTCGTTCTTATGTTGCTACCCTCCAGACGTGTCATGGAGGGGACACATGAAGAAGGGCCTCAGAGGATGGCAAAGACGTGGTGGTTATGGCAGATGGTGTGGGCTAAGATCTAAATATGAGTCTCAGTTTTAGGCAGTTAGAAAGGCTTGGTCCTCAAACCCAAATGTGAACTTTTTGGCAGTAGATGGGTCTTCTCCCAATTCCACAAGCACAGTTTTAACCCAGGACAAGTATAATAATAATAATAATAATAATAATAATAATAATAATAATTTATTTATACCCCACTCCGGGCGGCTTCCAACAAAAGATTAAAAATACATTAAAACCTCAGTCATTAAAAACTTCCCTAAACAGAACTGCCTGTTTGTCCTGTGATTTTCAGGTACAGGTCTGGGAGGTTTTCTTTTGCTCTGCCACCTTCCCTAGGGAAACACTCTGTTTACTGCTGCATTGGAACAAACATCTATTGGGTTTTCTATGGAGTGACCTGTGTTCTGATTCAGCAGTAATCAGCAGGTTTTCCCAGGGGAAGTGGAAGGACACAAGAGAAATGATAGGAAATGAAAGCATGGCCGTTGACCTGGGGCTCCAGTGAAATGGCCATTTGCTGCCTGGCAGGCCGTGGCATGGGCATGGGGTGGGAGCTATCTTCTCCCTCTGGAATTGGCATGAAAGGCTCATTTAAATGGGCCAACCAGAAGACAGCTGGGTGTGTGTCAACTGGGTCTGCCTAGTCCCTATAAAGTGAAGCCACACCAGGATTCCTCACCCTCCCGACCTGTGGTCCTGTCCAAGGTCAGTGTGTGGACCTTGCTATGGAATATTTGGTCACTGTACTGAGGACCAGGGAGGAATTCTCCCCACAGAAAAATTTCCCCCTCTGTGGGTTTTCGCCTGCCTCATAACAGATGTCACAACTCTGGTGGAAAAAGCATTGGGTTGGGTTAGTATAGCCCATTAAAGGAGTCCAGGAAGGAGTATTGTTGTCGAGGAGCAAACATGGGGCCCAATGGGCCATAGCATCCCTTCTGAGTGGTGGCCTTGGCAGGATTGTCAACTTGGTACACATCAGGGGGCATCCCTCCACCCAGGGTTGACCCATCACCCTTTGATCAACCAGTAAGCAGGCTGCTTGATCCCAGATACATACCCAAATGCATTAGTCGAAACCTACTTACACCTCTAATTAATAAAAGCTGTGCTTATTTCAACCCAGGCCTGGTATCCTGTGTCTCATTTCACCCCGGTCAGCCTCATACTGCACTGCGTGCTTCCTGTGCCTGGGCATGCAACTCACGGGGCCAAGGGAAGTGTGGATGAGCCCCCTCCCCAAGCTGTGTTGGTGCCATTGCTATGGGGGCACATGTAGGAGGAGACAAAGCTTTCAGGTTGGAGACAAATCCTGGGGAAGGTAAGGATGGCACACGTTCTTCCAAGCACATCATTGCCCCGGGGTGCAATCTGCAAAATATGAGGTTGTGCTGACCTCCTCAATCACTGAAACCTTGTGAAGGGTTCCAAGGTTAGTCAGAAATGTGTGAAAAGCCCATTTCATCTGTCGCTGGCTTATGCCACTCTTCTTGCATTGATAAAAATAAAGCACCTCGTCCCCTGCTCATCTGCTGCCAGAACAGCGTGTCTGTCTGACATGGATCGATAGAGGCCCGCATGCGCTAATCTGCTGGGCAGCCCTCCAGATCACAAACATAGCCCCCAGATTAGAAACATCAAATGCAATATCCCCTAACCTTTGCCATTCCCCCAGCTCCATGCTCAGTCATCACCTCTTTCTTGGTCTAGCTTCTCAAATTGGATTTTTAAAAAGTAAACTAACATTAAGATTGGAGCTGTCAGAGATGCACAAGGGAAACTGTGTTTTAACGCTCAGGAACTTGGCAAAGTCATTTTTATATTAAGGATTTTTATATTATGGATGAACGCTATGTATTATTTTATTAATACTATTGCCTAACACAAATTTGTCATGGCCTTTGGCTAGAACAATAAGCTTATGAACTTGAACTTGGTCTAGCTTATAGATAATCTCATATCTAGTTCAGTGATATCCTCAGCACCAGAACTCAGGGACCTGAAAATATTTTTGGACACCTGAAAAACAGAAGACAACCCAACATTCATAGTTCTGTACTAAACTAGCATTGGTCCTTAGTCTCATGGTAGTAGCCCACAATGTTTTAACAAGCCTGACAATGATCATCCACATATCTGTGCCCCAAATGTCAAGTCTATGCACACCATTTGTGTACTTGTGCAACATTTCTCTGTGTGGAAATGAGTGCTACTCATCAAGCTAGCTTTGATCAGATGTGAATCCTAATGCAGAAGAAAAATAATTCAGCTGCAGTTGCTGCAGAGCACCAATCCCAAGGACTCAAAGTTTCAAAAGATCTGCATGGCACTAGCTGCTAGGTACACAACATCAAGCAAATGATTTCTGCAAAAAGGGTGTGGCTCCCCCAAACTTTCCTTTGTGCACTTTAAGGGTCAAACTGGATGTGAAGCTGAACATGTCCTTACAAATCCAGCAAAGCAGTTTCACTAGCAGAAGCACTTTGGACTGAACAATGACTCTTCCCCTCTCTCCCTCTTCCTAAATTTGCTCTGGTGGGTTACAGGAAAACCCAGAACATTTTTAAGGGATCTGTTACCCAGGCAAAAGTGGACAGCGTCCCTGATTTCCCACCATGCTCCTGTCAAAAATCCCCCCCCCCCGCAATTAGGGTTAGAAAAAAACTCCCATTGGGACATCTCTCCCCCTCCTTCCTGCTCACATGGGACAGCTCTTATTGGACCACATCAAATTCAAGCAAGTGAGTACAAATTTCTTAATTCTGCTTCCTTGTAAAATAAGCACCGGAATGTAGAAAACAAGCATGGCAGGTAGAAACTTGCTAGTTTTCTACAGAAGAGAAAGGCTGAAATTCTTTCCCACTGACTCTAGCAGGATAGGCTAAGGTTAGGGTTATCAAAGTCCCTTTTCGGCCCTATAAGGGAGGTGGGCTGGGTGGGGGGAGATTGGAAAGTCCTGCTTCAACTGGCAGGAGTGTAGGACTGTCAACTTTTGATTTCAAAAGTTATGGGAGCTGGATGGGGTTGGGCTAGTGGTGGAGCCCCAAACAGAACCGGGTTGCACAGGAAAGCCAGCATGAGAGCCATCTCTGCTGCAGCTGCAGCTGCCCCCTTGTGGGTATGTGGCTCTAATCACAAAGCCCTTGGCTCAACAGAGAAGGCAGCTATGGAGGAACTACTCATGTGTAATCTGCAACTATGAATTGGGGCCCTGGAACCAAGCTTCCTTCAGTGGGAGAGGGGGCATAGTTCCATGGCAGAGCACATGCTTTGTGTGCAGGTGCAATCCCTGGCCTCTACAGGTGGGACTGGGCACACATCCTGTCTGGAGTACTGGAGAGCCACGGCCAGTCTGTGAGAAGAGCAGACCAGCCATCGCCAACTTGGTAGCCTCCCGATGTTTTGGACTTACAACTCCTATCAGCCCCAGTTGGCAATGATGAGAATTGTTGTCCACAAGCCACAAGACGGAGGGATAAAGCAGCTACAATTTCATTTTCTTTTGCTATTCGCAGTTGTCACAGGTTGGTGGTGGTTTGGGGATGGATGGATGGATAGATGGACAATACCGAGCAAGATGGACCAAGGGTCAAAGTTAGTGTAATCAACTTCTTTTGTTCCTAAGCAGACACAGTCCGTGGCTTGATGCTCATGTCTATGCATTGGATTGAGCATGCTTTGAACATGCAGACAGAGTAAAGATGCTGCTACTGTCTGGTTTGGATTTCAAAAATCTCAACTTTGCTCATAAGAAGCTTCTCATAAGAAGCTTCTGGCCTATACATGCATGCACATGGATGCATGCACATGCGCGCGCGCACACACACACACAGGAGGACCAGAACCTGGAGGACAGGTAGGCATAACCCCTGTCAGAGCCCTTGATTTTTTGGAATTTTTTATACTGCTTGTCTCTTACATTTTAAATTGCAGACTGTTCAGCAGGGGGAAGAAAGGGGAGTGGGGAAGACTGTTCTGTGTCTTAATTCAGTGAGATTGACAGCTTCATCGGGCTTGCTCTTTTTTCTTCATTTTCAGCCCAATTAAGTTGAAGTGCTACAGATATTACAGCCTTGCGTCCCTGCTTAATGGAGGGAAGCCCCCTTCCCACTGGGCCATTGCAGCTTATGATTCTTGGCCAATGCCAGCTGCAATTGGGAGAGAGATTGTATATAGAGGTGTGTGGGAGAGTGAGGCCTAGTGCTTAGAGCCTTCCCACCAAGGTGCTGGTTCAAGCTTGGTAAAATAGACTTGGAGGCCCCCAGCCTAGTCTTAGGGGCTTTTGTACCAATTGTAGGGACAATCATCAAAGAGCAGAGGACAGTGCCTCTTTCTGTGGACAGGCAGCTTTAATAACCTAGTTATTAAAGCTAGAAGTTAGCTAGAAATTATTTTGGCCGTATATTGCAATATGTGCTTACTGGCCATAATTCCTCCATTCGCTGGAGACCTCAGCTATTGCTTTCCCTCACCTGTAGATTGAAATGCATTCAATTTATAACTTGTCCCCCAAACACTCTCCTACGCCTGACAGCCCACGACAAGGATTGAATGCTGAGCAGATGGGGTCCCCGAACTATTCGCCAAACAATCAAGGCAGAGAGGGGGTAGAAAGACAAGCAGCAAGGCGGAGGCATAAAACAGCTACAATTTCATTTTCTTTTGCTATTTGGGGTTGTCACAGGTTGGTGAGAGTTTGGGGATGGATGGATGGATGGATGGATGCAGAGGGTGGGTGACGGCAGAAGAATGCACCACATGGTACAAGCAGAGAAATCCACCCAAAATCACATAAATTTTGGCTACTCAGCTGGTGTGGGATAACTCCTAAAATGCTGATGGGGTGCAGCTGAAGCAGGGGCAAACACTCTATCTTTTGGAGTGTGCCCCAGATCTCCTGCTTTTCCTTCTTTTTAAGCAATTTCTACTCCTCCTCCTCTTAAAGGGCAATTGGGTGCACTGCCAAGCCATAGCCTTCAACTGTCTCAAGTTGGAACATCCCGTTTTAGGGTGCTGTGCTCTCAGCACAGTGCCAATAAACACATGAGATCATGTGACTCTCACGGGAGTGTGGCTGGGAAGATGAGCGTCCAGGTATTTGGCCTCAACAGTTTATGCAAAGCACAGTGCTAGTTAGACCCGCCCCCATCACTGTAATTTCCCAGGGACATTATACTTATAAATTAGCAAACGTTTCAATCCTTTAGCAGGGCCTGAGGGTCAGCCTCTGGAGAAGATATAGTCTGGGGTTGCGTTAGGCTAAGGTGAGATCCAATGGTGAGGGTAGAGGTCAATAGAAAACTGAGGTCCTTTGGGTGGGAGGCAAAGGACAGGAAGGGAGGGGGTGAGCCTGATGTAAGAGAGGGGGCTCTGTGTATGTTCTATCATCATCCATGAGGAGGGAAGATGAGGAACTGGATTGTTGTGGAGAAGCCTTGACTTCATAAAATCACTTTGTTAAGATCTAAATAGGCACATTTAAGAACCAGTTTGGCTCAAGTTATGTCCATTATTTAATATAATCCAACTTTACTATCATTTTGTATTTGAGTGTTCATGTTTTGATACTTGTATTCCTGTTATTAGTACATTCAGACTGTGAGCACATTTAATCTAGTGCCCTGCTTTGAAGATCTTCTGCTGACAAGGGTATGTGATGTGTTTGGGTGATGGAATGGTGGGGAGCAAGGAGAGAGAGAGAGAGACATAGAGAAGACGAGGAAGGAGCTGCCCTTTAAGTAGTGAGGTGCTGAGGGAGGTATGGCGACGGGGGCTGGCCATGCCAGGTTAGGAGAAGGGGTGATCAATGGATGAAGGCTGTCCCCTCTTCTGGACTGCTTTCCAACCATCAGAGTCTGGATGATCATGTCAGTTGACCCCCTCAGCCTGGTGCTTCTGCTATTAAGTGCCAGTTTGATTCAGAATAAATAACCTACTCTTTATGACTTAATTGAAAGACCCCATGGGGATGGGCCTATCCTGCAAGGAGTGAACTTGGGCCCAACTGAATACAAAGCTTGTGCTCTCTCTCTGAATTATGGTCCCTGCCAACAATTGGTGGAATATGTGTATTTTAAGGGAATTGATGCTTTTGAATTATGGTGCTGGAGGAGACTCTTGAGAGTCCCATGGACTGCAAGAAGATCAAACCTATTCATTCTGAAGGAAATCAGCCCTGAGCGCTCACTGGAAGGACAGATCCTGAAGCTGAGGCTCCAATACTTTGGCCACCTCATGAGAAGAGAAGACTCCCTGAAAAAGCCCCTGATGTTGGGAAAGATGGAGCGCACTAGGAGAAGGGGACGACAGAGGACGAGATGGTTGGACAGTGTTCTCGAAGCTACCAGCATGAGTTTGACCAAACTGCGGGAGGCAGTGGAAGACAGGAGTGCTTGGCGTACTCTGGTCCATGGGGTCACGAAGAGTCGGACAGGACTAAATGACTAAACAACAACAACAACAAAAAGACAAGCAGGAAGCATCATGGTTCTGAGCAGCGGGAAAGAAGCTTGGGGAACAATATTAGGGACTAATGAAGATTGCTGCCCCAGCCATGGTCTTATTACCGCTAGCAAGAACGATGCAATTCATACAGGTGTTTTTCTTCATTTGGGTCTATTTTAAAAGCTGGCTATTCCATAATGCTTTTAACCACTTGCTTGCCATAATCACCAATTATCACATAGGCTCCACTTTCAGGGTAAACTGAATTATCTGGTGGGCCTTGGAGGGAATTGTGGCTGGCTGTGAACAGCCTAATAAGTTTCCATCGTAAATGGGATTTGCGTTGCTCCCCAAGGCAGGTGTGGGATGCTCTGCAGATGCTGTCAATGGTGCAGTGGTTTATTGATCAGAGGTGAGAAGCAGAAGCTGGTGACTCTCATGCAGTGGTAGTAAACAATGTAGCTAATGCTCACAGATATGCTATGCATATTCCAGATTGGGTGTACTAACTCCCCCCCCCCCGCCCGATCACTCAGCAGCCATCAAGATTGAGGCAAGGCAAGATGGCTTAGTGGCATCATAAACAAGAGGGGGAATCCATGCCCCACTGAGAATGTCACGGAGTTGCTACCCTGACTGGCTAGTAACAGTAAGACTCCTTTCAGCCAGGACACAGCAGGGTGAGTGGATAAATGAATGAATGGTGCAGTGCATTACCCGATTCCCAAAGATTTAAAATCTTCTGGCTTACATAACTCCCTTCCCTCCCTCTAATATTTATTGTTTTATCATATTAGGCTTCCAAGAGAAAAAGGAACAAGGTAATCGGACAATTGTACATGTGCAATAAGTCAGTGGGAATGATACATGGTGTTCCTTGCCTGCCTCTCAGACAGCTCACCTGGCATAATTGGGGCTCATTTCTGGCTCGTTAGGGTGTGTGCAAAGAATCTGAGATAACGGGAGGAGAACTGGTGATTCACTCAGTGTCCCAGAATGGGTGGTAGGGAGGCAGGATGGAGAGGAAAAGAGAAGGGGAGAGAGAGAGAGAGAGAGAGAGAGAGCAGGGTGGGGTGGGGTGGGGTGGGAGAGAGAGAGTTCTGGAGGAATAGAACAATTGGGGTGTGGGAGAGCAAAATCCTCCCGGCAGGGTTTGGAGGCTTGGCGATGGCATCAATCACTGTGGAAGCAGAGGCCAGTCAGATGAGAAAGATGAAGATGTTTTCAGTATGGTTGGAACACAGAAAGAATCTCTGTCTCATTGGATGCTGCTGCAGCCTCGTTCTGCATACATTGAGAGTTTGCTTTCTCCTGGTTGTGCACACACAGAATATGTCAAAGCTTCATTCCTGGGTTGGAAGGATGCTTGTTTTTTGTTTTTGTTTTGTCCCAACTTGGGAATGGAAAAATGGAGCTTTTTGCAAGGATGGGCAAGATGGATGGTTGTTGGGGAAGCATAACCAATGCATTGCAAGAGAAAGAAGAATCTCTCACAGCACTTGTTTGGGCTTTCAAATTTCAGTGGTGCCCTGTGCGACGCCAAAATCCGGTGCCCCCTCCCGCTTCTCACCTTCTGTTGTTTGTCATTGTTGCAGTGCTCCTTGTGGGATCCTCTCAGTTCTGTGCCCAGTGCAGGCAAACTTGTTGTGCTCCCCTAAATCTGCCTCTGTTCAAAGGTTGGACACTTGGGAGGATCCACAAGGGATGGGCAAATGTCCAGGGGTGGGGTAGATGTGGCCCTTTAGTTGCAGCTGGACTCCAAATCCCATCCACCCCCAAGAAGAGGAGTTGAGGAAGAAACAGTTTATTACGTCATAGAATCATAGAGTTGGAAGAGACCACAAGGGCCATCGAGTCCAACCCCCTGCCAAGCAGGAAACACCATCAGAGCACTCCTGACATATGGTTGTCAAGCCTCTGCTTAAAGACCTCCAAAGAAGGAGACTCCACCACACTCCTTGGCAGCAAATTCCACTGTCAAACAGCTCTTACTGTCAGGAAGTTCTTCCTAATGTTTAGGTGGAATCTTCTTTCTTGTAGTTTGGATCCATTGCTCCGTGTCCGCTTCTCTGGAGCAGCAGAAAACAACCTTTCTCCCTCCTCTATGTGACATCCTTTTATATATTTGAACATGGCTATCATATCACCCCTTAACCTCCTCTTCTCCAGTATAGAACCAGACCCGCGCTGAGGGGGAAGGAAGTCAAATAGAAATGAATAAGAATTGAAATAGGGATGTATGTGTATCATTTGTTCTACATGTGTAGTTATATCTTTTTGTAAGTTTGTATTGTGAGTGATGTCTGTGTTGGTGTTGGTATAAGTTAATAAAAGCATTTGAAAAAAACAAAACAAAACAAAACAAAACAAAACAAAAAAACACAAATCCCATCTGCCCCAGCCAGCAAGAGCAATGGTCAGGAATGATGGGAGTTGACTCCCTTGCAGGAACATTTGTTTTTAATTTGCTTGGCAACTGCAATTCCATCATGGGTGTCACCCCTCCTGCAACTGCACCATCATCACCATCATCACCATCATTTTAGTATGCTGATGACAACGTAGTGTGTGCACGCTCAGAGGATGACCTCCAAACCATCCTAAATATCTTCGCAGAAGCTTACAAAAAGCTTGGCCTATCAATCAACATCCCAAAAACCAAAGTGCTACACCAACAAGTACAAAATAACCCCTCTGCAGTGCCACAAATCCAACTCAATGGTGTAATGTTGGAAAGTGTTGATCACTTCTCCTACCTGGGCAATTATCTTTCCACAAGGGCCAACACTGATGCCAAAATCCAGCATTGCCTGAGCTCTGCGAGTGCAGCTTTCTCCCAACTGAAGTGCAGAGTGTTTGAGGACCGGGACATTCGCAGGGAAACCAAAATGCTTGTTTACAAAGCTATTGTACTACCAACCTTACTGTATGCTTGTGAAATGTGGACCACTTCTGAATGCCATCTCCACCTCCTCGAAAGATTGTATCAATGGTGTCTCCGAAAAATTTCACACATCACTTAGGAAGCCAGGCAAACTAATGCCAGGGTACTGGAAGAAGCAAAGATCACCAGTGTTGAAGCAATGATTCTTCAACATCAACTTCGCTGAACTAGTCATGTTTTGCGGATGTCTGATGATCGTCTTCCAAAGCAACTACTCTATTCCGAACTTAAAAATGGAAAGCGTAATGCTGGTGGTCAACAAAAGAGGTTCAAAGACTCTCTGAAGACAAATCTAAAAAAAGGTAGTATAAACACCAACAATTGGGAAACACTTGCCTGCGAACGCTCCAATTGGAGAACAGTCTTTACCAAAGGTGTCATGGGCTTTGAAGACACTCTAACTCAGGACTCAAACTTGCTAAGAGGAAGGCACGCTTGGCAAATCCACACTGTCATCAACTCCCACCTGGAAACCAATGTCCCCACTGTGGAAGGACATGTGGATCCAGAATTGGCCTCCAGTCACTTACGGACTCATTGTTAAAACCGTGTTTATGGAAGACAGACTTACTCGGCTATGAGTGATCGCCAAAGGAGGAGGAGGAGGAGGAGGAGAAGAAGAAGAAGAAGAAGAAGAAGAAGAAGAAGAAGAAGAAGAAGAAGAGATTTAGGACAAGGCATTCTGACATTTGAAAATGACATTTGGAAAGTAAGGTGGTTTCTTTGGAAAATTAAGTGCAGTGATTTCCTCTGCAAAATCCATCAGCCACTTCTCCCTCCTGCTTTCCAAACACTCAAGCACTTGCAGAGGGGAGGGGGGCTGGCATTCTTCCCTGAGTCCTCCAACAGAGCCACTGCAAAGCTGATGATGGTCATTGATGCATTTGGGTAATTTACTGCGGCTCATAAGGTGATATGAACGGAATTACGACTCACCAGGGCATGGAGCCAGATAGCAGGCGACTGGCCTGTGAGCACTGCCAAAATACAATTGTATCTGTCAGAAATTAATCCTCTCTTCTTTAATTTCAAATGCAGGGATACGAGAAGAAGTTGGTTTCAAAGCACCCCTGATTGAGGGTTATCAAAATCAGACACACACACAAACATCCAGTATTCAGTGGTAATGGTTATACGCTGGGTCTAGAATTTATGGGGTAACTGGAGAAGCAGGATCCCTGTGAAGAGAGACAATATTAGTTACACAATCCTGTGTGTATTTAGGTGGGAGGTAAAGCCTACAACAGTGCTTTTTTCCGGGGGGGGGGTTACACACCCCCCTAAACATTTTGTGAATCTTTGTACTTTTGTCCATTTACTGTATTTATTTTTCCCAATTAGAACTATAAAATGGTGATTTTCTGGAGTCAAACTTTTTTTTAGAAAAAAGCACTGCTTCCACATAAATGTGCACAGGATTGCAGTCTAACAGCAGAATCCTATGGACATTTATTTGGAATTAAATCAGATGATGTTCAGTAGGACTTCTTCCCAGGAAGTGGGCAGCCTAGAAACATTTACTGCAATCCTAAACTCCAGAGATTGCAGTAGGACTAACTCTGGTCAGGCAGCACAATAGCACAGTCCTGCTGCTCCCTCTGGCTGGGGGAAGGCAGGGGCAGACAAAGCCCTGCTCCTTGATACACCAGACCGAATCCCAATGCCACCAAGTGATAGCTATTATGCTGGCTTGGATTCCAGAAGAATACCACTCTGTAACACACACACTATGTGGGGCTGCTCTTGAAGATGGTGCAAAAATTGCAATTATGCAGCAGCCAGAGTGCTTATGAGAGCAGTACAGCTGACTACGTGTGGGCCCCATCTACACTATACATTTAAAGAACAGTCCTGGCTTCCCTCAAAGAATCCTGGGAATTGCCATTTGTTAAGGGAGCTGAGAGCTGTTAGAAGATCTGTATTCTCCTCCCAGAGCTACAGTTCTCAGAATGGTTTAACAGTCAATTCCTCTTTCCAAGGAACTCTGCAAATTATAGTTCTGTGACTGTTTAAAGTGGTATGATACTGCTTTAACTGTATTAACATCATTTTCCATCTTAAAACAACACTGGTTGCCTGTTGTTTTCTGGGTCCAATAAAATTCACATGCAGATTTTTCTTCCATAAAACTGCATACAAAAATATGTTTATTAGGAGAAACGTGCACTAAAATGCTGAAGGATATTCATGAGCAGTTTTTAAAAATGCAAATTGCTGCAGAAATATGGAGAACCAAATTTAAGGTTTGAAAAATCTCGGCGAGATTGGAGAGAGCCAGTGTGGTGCAGTGGTTAGCGTCCAACTAGGACCAGGGAGACCAGGGTTCAAAGCCCCACTTGGGATACCAATGCATTAAATAAATAAAAATTAGAAACCGAGAGAACTGAAATTTGACAGATCAGTGCATCCGCACTGTTTGTTTTTAAGGGTAGTACTTCCATTTAGGAACACAGCAGACACATTCCTCACCTTCCCTTGTTTATAAGAGAGTTCAGCCAAGGACCTAGAGTAGTTTTCAAGAAGCAGAGGCAAAAGAAAGGCTGTAGAGTACTGGTTTGTAGAATGAAAGAAGGGTCCTCCTAGACATCTCAAAACACCACATGCCACAGCCTCACCCATGCAAATTTCACCTTAGTTGTCTGTCTCCCTTGATAATTTCCAAATGCAATGTCTTTTCTCATTAATTGTTGGAGACTCTTTTTTAAAAGTGGGAGAACTTATCAGCAGAGCCCTAACAGATAAGCATTGGCGCTTTGTTTTTCATCGTTCAGAAGATGTGCAAGACCAGCATTTTCAGGAGAGCACATGAGGTTACCCAAGGTAATGCTGATAGATTTTATCATGCCTGCTCTAGTGCTCTGTTTTGAGATGATAATATGACTTTTATTGTTGTTTTTATGGTTTTATGGATGTGTGGTTTTAATGTTACAAGCTTCCTTGAGCGTATGGAGAAGCGGGATAGAAATTAATTTTGAAAAGGAAAGAAAAATCTCTCAGGTCTCTGTCTCCTCTCCATAACTTATGAGACAGAGAGAGAGAGAGAGAGAGAGAGAGAGAGAGAGAATAATGGTCTACCAAGGAGGGCTCTTGTAAGTACCATTGGAATACTTATTGGAAGGCTTGCCAGCAGTTCATAATTTTTATGAACAGTTAATAATTTAGGATCTTTGCTGTCAAGGGCAGTGAAGCAGTTTCCCAGTAGGACCATCAGCTGCTGCTTTTGGGTCACTGAGGAAGGATGCAAATTCTTGCCCTCATTGAAAAAGATTAGGAGACCTTGGTGGAGGCAAGGCATGCCTCAGCACTATGCAGGTGAATGGTTGCTAGTTGGCTGCCCACCTTTGTTGATGTCATCATCCCATGCCCACACCTGGGGCTGCTAGCCAATCAGCAAGCACACACTTCCACCATGCTGACTGAAGGACCCTCCGTTGCCTTCACCTATGCCTCCCAATAGCTTTAGTAAGACAGAAAAGCCCCTCTGCCCTAGACTGCTCTGTGTGGGTCAGTACTTCCCACTAGTGATCCATTTTGCCAGCTGCCACTGGGATGCCATGATAATTGCTCCCACACCTGGAATAAGGAGGCACGAGACTTGTCTTGTTGCTTTAACTAGGGCCACGACCACAACTATCTGAATGTCTAGGGAAAGCTCTAAAACTGTTGTCTGTGAATGAACAGTGTCTGAAGAGTTCTGGGTTTGTTGGTGCTGCTGCTGCTAAAGCACAGCAGATTATATATATATATAGAGAGAGAGAGAAAATGAAAGGTTCATTAAAAAAAATCCTACATTGCTCTGTTTTAATAGCAAAGCAACCCCAAACTCTTCAGACATCCAATGAAGCTGAATTTTGGAAGATTCGGAACAGATAAAAGAAAGTACTTCTTCATGCATCACATAAACTATGGAACTCCCTGCCACAGGAAGCAGTGATGGCCAGCAGCCTAGAGGGCTTTAAAAGAAGATGAGGCAAATTCATGGAGGACAAGACTAGGGATGGCTATCAGCCAGGATGGCTCTGCTCTGCCTCCACAGTCGGACGCAGCCATGCTTCTGAAGACCAGCTGCTGGAAGCCACAGGAGGGGAGAGGGGCTCTGGTGTTCGGGTGCCGCTTGCTGGTTTCTCACAGGCCCCTGGTTGGCCCCTGTGGGAACAGGATCCTGGGCTAGATGGGTCATTGGCCTGATCCAGCAGGGCACTTCTTCTGTTCTTGACTCCGCAGGGAGGTTCCTACGCAGATCCACATCGTAGTGGGCGGGCCAGAGGGAAAGATTGGGGTGCAATGTATGGGACTTTTACCTTCCACAGAAGACTATATTCCATCCCCACAGAAGGTTCTATAGACACACACATCCTTCTCTTTGTCCTCCATCCAAGCAGAAAGACTTGAATCAATTCTAGAATCAATTCTATGATTCTATGATTCTATGACGCATTGTCAAGAAGCCAGGCAGAAGCACTCAAGGTGGCTGGAGGGGGAGGGGTGTGGCCTGGAAGAGGGAGTGTGGCCTGAGGAGGGATGTGGCCTGAGAAGAGCCCAGAGGGCTGCATCTGGCCCCAAGGTCGGACGTTCCCCACCGCACTGCTATCAACAAACAGCATTCAGTGTGAACCAAGCACTGTATACAATTTTAGCATTAAGATGGACACACGCTTCAGCCGGGGTGTGATAAAGGCTAGGCTTGGCACAAGCATCTGCTGTGCTGTGGAGCAGACATGAAGCCTTTCTAGCCAATCATTCAATTCGATGCCTCTATGCCCTCAGGTGAGATGGAGATGTCTAACATGCATCCTTCTGACACTGGCAAACCCTCCAGGGGACAGAGGCACTTCCTAACAGCTATTGCCAAGCAGCGCTCAGCGATCTCCCCTGCGTACACACATGCAGCATTTCCTGTTTTCCGCACACAGCATTTTGTGGGACATTGACTCTTGGGCGAGACCTTTAGCTGTACAGTTCATGCTTGTGCCTTCAGCGTGGCTTCCTTGGTTGGCTGATCAGGTCCCTTTGGGGAATTCAGTGGAAGTTTTGTTTTTTTAAAGACAGTACCTTGATGCAGTCTCTTAGGCCTGCCAACCTGGCAGCTGACGGAGGGGAAAGGTCCCTTCCTTGCAGCTGTAGTAAGAAGGACTTGTTCTCCTTTGGGGTACAGCCCTGCAGCAGAGGGAAGAGGTAGAATCCTTGCTAGTGGGTGTTGTTGAATGGACATTTCAGGCAGGTGGTGTGGTTTCAGAATGCTACTCTGTTGGGGGCAACCCCACCACCACCACCTTGCAAATAAACAACTAGAGCACGTAAGTATGAGATGGAGAACCTCTGGCCCTCCAAGACCCTCTATCTGGTCTGTTACGGTAAAATCTGGGTGCGGGGCTACTCTGCCACCCAGCTCGTCGGACTAGGTCCGCGGGTCCCTGCGGAAGAAAATGAGCTCAGCCGGAGACAGGAGCAAACTGCAGAAGATCCAAGTTTATTGCGCAACAGGTTCAAGGCGAGATTGAACAGCGAGAAAGGGGTGACATGAACTTTTGAAACTTCCCTCCATGTCCCAGAATACAGTGCAAAATACATCCCAGTTACATCATGAATACATTAAGAAGAGGTTGGGTCACACAGGATTAACATATGGAGGAGGGAGGGGGGAATATGCAGAGCTGGAGATATGCGCAGATAAGCACATCCTGAGTACCTGATGAGAAGACAATGGTCCATGTATGCATGGTCTGCCACCTGGCCTTGCCCGGAGGAAAGGCTTGGCAGAGCGATTTGACAGGATTAGGGTCTTGACACCTTGCTTGAGGGATTATGGAGGACAGGGGAGGTGTCATGGAGTCCTAGAGAAATTGAGCAAATTGGCACGTTGATTTTCTATGAATTTTATAGATTTTAGTCTCTTTTGACATTGACAATTGGAAATAAATGGATATATTGTAGCGAAGAAGGAGGTGAAGAAGACATGCTCCCCCTTCCGTATCAGGTCCTTGACACTTCCCACAGGCCATCCCTCTCCCCAGCCATATATGCTACTGGCCCTTGTGTGTTTTTGCCTGGCTAATATTTCTCCATGACTTTTGTTTCTGCCCCTGCCCCAATGACATGTGGACCTCAGAAAGTTGCCTAGAAGACAAATTGGCCCTCAGGTCAGAAAAATGCCCCTGGCCAAAGGGAAAGGGCTTGTAGTGCAGGTTGCTACCTGCTCTTTGGACACTAGTGAGGCAGGGGGGATGAGGCCAGCAGGTGCCCCCCCTGATCAAGTAAAATAGGAATACTTAACTAACTGGCCAATCATGTTGATTCTAACAAAAGCCCTGCCCCCACCACAAAGTCCTGCCCCCCCCCCAAAATCCTGGCTACGCCCATGGAATTAGTTCTGATTATTGAGATTTCTACTTCACCTTTCAGGCTTTGTGACTGGGTGGGAGATACTAAGAGGACAAATCAGTTCCCTGCAAAAGCAAGCAATTAGCTACCAGGACAGTTGTGGATGTGACACAAGGAGTGACTTAAAATCTATCCGTGTGGGGCTGGCAGTCTCATCAGCTTAGTGACAATCTCCCCAAAGAATGATTTTCTGTCCAATTTAGTCTCATCATCCAACTGTGACCTGTGTCCTCCCAACCTGGGAACAAACTGATTTGTGAGCAGAATTCCTAAGTCAAGAGTGGGGAAAACATTTTCTAGAAGGTGGAGGAACAAAAAAAGAAGCCAAGATGGAATTTAAATCAGGCACAGTCACTGTTGGAAACTCTGGATGAAGTTTCTATATTACCATTTCATGTTCCCCTTCTCTGAAAGCGTGTGGGCAAAACTTAGGGTCATTGATATAGGGTGGATTCCCAAAGAGTAGCAAAGGGAGTCTTACAGCATCTTAAAGATGAACAGATTGCCCAAGGCACAAATATTGCTGGACTAGAATCCATTTCAAAAAACAGTCTTGCAGGATAGAGCACATTTCCTTTGTCCAGTCCAGGAGGCGCTCCTTATTTATTAAGTTAGATTTGCATCCCACTTTTCTTCTGTCATGGAACTCAAAGTCAGGTAGGTGAGAATTCCCAAGCAGTCTCCCATCCAAACATTGACCAGGCCTGAGCCAGCTTAGCTTCAGCCAGGGGACAGGACCATGCACCCTGGTGCTGTGGTTAACAACATGGGCAATCACACCAACAGACAAGGCCCCTATAAAAACATCCTCATCCATCCTATCTTTGCCTTTCCCTGGAAATATCAGTCCTGAAAAGGACTTTGCTTCCAACTGAAGCCCCAGGAGCAGTCTAACTGCCCTCCTCCAAAGCAAGCCTCTCAATTCCCTGGACTAAATTTTTGAGTCCTTGAGCAACTTCATCTCAAATCCCTTCTTGCTGACTGAGTCCCTGAAATGCAGAAGAGGCAGGCGGGAGATGGGGAATGAGAGGGCACCAAAGCCAGCAATTAAAAGCTATTTATAGCAGTTGAGAGACAGGAGCTAATGAGAGAGAGGGGGGAGTATGCTAATAGAATAGCGATTCAATCAACACCCAAAATGTATTAGCAGCATGTTTCTTTAGCTGCCTGCCAAAAGTACGCCCACATCACAGGGAAACAGAAAATGTTAGGAAAGCGAGTGACTGATAACTTCACAAACTCGTGAACTGCTCTTGGGTTTGTGGGATCCCAGAGCTGTTCACCACATCTGTGATGTGTGGATCCAGATTTTAATGTGCACCCAATCCATAGGGCAGTTGTGGCCTCCAGAGGTTGCTGAAATGCAACTCTCACCAGCCCCAGCAAGCATGGCCAATGGCCAAGGATGACAGGGGTATGTGTGCTGTCCTTCATCTGAGGATGCCAGGGTGGTTTATAGTATAAAAACACAGAAATATGTAACATAATAAAAAACAAAACAATGTTTTTGCCTGGAGCCTAAATATATGCAATGAAGTCTCTGAGAGCATTCCACAATCCACGTCACTCGCTATAGGGTTGCAAACTGTAATCTGGGGCCCGTTCTGTTCCTGCAGCAGGATGAAAAGAGAGCAGAAGTCGGAAGCTGCCTTCTGCTCATCTGCCCATCTAGCTCAGCTTTGTCTACTATGACTGGCAGAAACTCTCCAAGGCTTCAGGCCCACAGAAGCCATTCAAAGCACTGGCTGCCTGATCTTCTTAACTAGAGATACCACAGACTAAACCAGGGCATTCTGCATGTAAAGCTGCCAATGCTGGAGGAAAGTAAAAGTAACACATTTCATTTAAAAAGTGCAAACCATATCAGGGTATGTCTAAGGCCACAATGAAAGCATTTAAAAAGAAAGAAAAGCAGAAAAGCAAACAACAAAGTAGCAGGAAATTAATCATCTTCAGCAACCAACCATTGCTACAAATGCCCAGAGAGAGAGAGAGAGAGAACTTTTAACAAGTGCAATGACTTGTATCAGGAAGTGGCATGGTAGGAGTTGAGAGCCTGAGGTTTCGTTGGAAAGGAGTCCAAAAGACTTGGTGGCATCACAATGAAAAGGCTTTCCTGTTCACCCTCACAGATCTTACCATGGTGAAAGAAGAAATGCTCAATATACTTATCTCAGTAGGTTTCAGGGAGATGATGAGGTCTATCTTTTCCCCTACTAAGCAGCCTGGGAGAAGAAACCTAAACCTAACCCTGGCAAACATTACATTGAACAGGTCCCAATACTGAATTGACAGATTTGTCCATCCCTAGCCCTTGGTGAGCAGGAAAGCAGTGCATAAATGCTATGATCAAACAAATAACTGAACTGAGGTTGATTAAATAATGCAGAATGGAAAATCAGGAATAATTTTATACTGTACTGAGAAACACGTGGGCCCTTGCAGCACAATTGTTGCAGGGTGGACTGTTGCTGTTCAGGTTTTGGAGGCATGAAGACCCTGTCTCCAGTAGCCGTCTGGCAAAGCTCAGAAGATGGGTACATCCAAAGCAGGGCCTCCAGTTGTGATCTAAGTGAAAGGAGAGGTGATTATGGGAGAAAGGGGTCCTTCAGATACCCCTGGGTCCAGCCTGTTAAGGACTGATTGAAACACCCCCTGTGACTTGATGGTCAACTACACAGAAGCAGGGGGAAGCAATGAGGAAAGGATTGCACCTCAATGAATTGCCTGCTTATCGTTTCTCCTTTGGGTGTCCTCTTTGTCCTCTTTGTAATTGCTTCTCAGGCATCTTGCCTGCCCAGTCAAACAGATCACTGAAACCTACATATTTAATCAACATATCAAATTCAACCTCCTTCTTCTTCCCAACTTCTATCCTCTTCCCTCCCCCTGCCACCCCCACCTCAAAGTCAAAGCATACATTTTTATCTCTGCTTGATCAATCTTCATTATCGAATCTCCAAATCTGGAAGCCACAGCAGGGGAGATATGGCATTTTGTGACAATTGTTGGATTAATCCATCCTTGGTCAGGATCAGCTACAATCAAAGGAACAAGGTAGCACAAGCAGCAGACAGAAAAGGTTTTTATCCTGATTACCGGCAGACACAGGGGTGAGGAGGGAGCCTGTATAACAGACATGTAGGGTAGAAAAACTCTTTGTGAGGTTACTGTTGCTCACACCCCAGTCTCTGAGTGGCGAGAGACTCTGGGATGCCTGCGCTTACTCAGGGTTTGGTTTCCTTGGGATGGAGACTGTTGTGTCTTTTAGGATATATAGTTTTCTTTACACATCTATACAACCTGAGCATAGGATGGAGGGGTTCCCAGCATTAACACTCCAGCAGATCCTGATACACCATTAGGTCTCCAGGGAAGCCCCGAGCCACAGCTTTGGGTCCAGATTCCAGCACAAAGGAGGACATGCTTTTGTGTCTACAACTTCTGGCATCAGCCAAAACTCTCCCTTGCCCTATTGCTCTCCATCCTAGAATGGAATAGCCTCCAGGCATGTGGGGGAAGTGGTTAAATGCCTACCGTCTTCCTGGAGAGCACAATCACTTAGTTGCCACTATGTCCACAAAGTTCAATCTTTGAGATGCCAATGAGATTACTTAATTGGCCAGCTAAGACCATTACCTTACAAAAAGACTAATGGGTTCAGCAGTTTCTTCTACTAGATTCAAAACCTTACTGGGTACAGAATCACAGGCCTGCAAGGGACCCACAGATATCATCCAGACCAACCCCACAAACCTATAACAGTATGAAGTCCACCCTTCCCAAAGATAATTGAGTGAGGACATAAGGTTGCTTGCTGTCTAATTTTTGAGGTCACAGAT